ATAATAACGCGTTAACTTGCCCAGCCCTAATATATATATATATATATATAATTTTTAATATTTCTCAAAAGTGCTGTTTCTTTATTTGTAAAACTTACTGAGTTAACCTCAGATTGCTTGAGAAGGTCTAAAATCTGTATCTGTGTGCTGTTAGTTTCTCTGTTTAAATGCAACAGCTTGACACTGGACAGCACATGAACTCGCTACATATTTGGGAAAGCAGCGGGGCAGGCGCTGCGTCATCACGTTCTTCTGTTGCTCCAGCTGTAGCACAGCAACAATGTAAGTAATGCACGAATGCACGCACACGTATGCAGCACAAACTCCGTTGTTATTTAGCTGTACGTGTTTAACCAGTGAACTTATTACAGGTTCAGTCCTACTTCACTGTCTTCGTTAGTTACTGGTGTGGTTAACTTAGGCTACATGTCTTGATCAAACACATAATTGTGAGTTAATGAACCGAGCTCAGATTTGAACCAACAACCTTTCAGTTACCAGTCCGGTTCTTTAACCACTAGTTTGTTGTGAAACCGCGATCAGTCCCAAAACCCAGGGGTGGTGAAGCTGTTAAGGAGAAGTTCAGCAACTCATAAAAACTTTAACCCCCTCTGAAGTTCACGTACCCTTCTGCGCCCGCGAGCTTCTGGCACCGAGGAGAAGGATGAAGAGGATCAGGATGGAGACCGCAGCCCCTCCGGTCCCTCTGCCCACCATTACCAACGCGTCCATCCCAGCAGCCTGCAGTCCGAATGCATAATGCAAAAGTGTCCTGATCGAGTCACAGTCCTGATAAGTGCGCGCGAGTGTGTGTGTGTTTAGTATCAGGATGGTTTATTGACGCTTCCTGGACTCTTGAGCGGCACACTGTTAGAACAAACACGGGCTCTTCATTCCCCGATCTACTACACGACTTCCTCAACTTCCGCTCCTCCCACCACACAGCGGCCCCTAGATGGGAATTCTGTGGTATTCCATACATTGTTGTGGATAAGGAGAGTTCAGTGGTTTGTTTTTGCTTTACGGAAAGATGTGCTCGGAACTAAATATCAACAAAACGCGAAAAAACACGAGTGAAAATAAATTATTATTATTATTAGACTAGCTGTTTTATATGTAGACTGTAATATGTGCATAAATGTATATTTTTTTATGGCCGTATTGTTGTTACATATTTAAAATAGCAATACTACTGACTATAATATTAATAACTTTTAAATTATTATTATTATTAGGTCTATTAATGAGATAGCTGACATTTTATATTAAGACTTTAAAAGCTGTGCATAAATTAACATTTTCTATGGCTTATTGATAGGCTAGGTAATGATTTATTAAATAATAATAATAATAATAATAATAATAATAATGACATTTCATAGGCATGCAAAAGTGTCCTGATCGAGTCACAGTCCTGATAAGTGCGCGCGAGTGTGTGTGTGTTTAGTATCAGGATGGTTTATTGACGCTTCCTGGACTCTTGAGCGGCACACTGTTAGAACAAACACGGGCTCTTCATTCCCCGATCTACTACACGACTTCCTCAACTTCCGCTCCTCCCACCACACAGCGGCCCCTAGATGGGAATTCTGTGGTATTCCATACATTGTTGTGGATAAGGAGAGTTCAGTGGTTTGTTTTTGCTTTACGGAAAGATGTGCTCGGAACTAAATATCAACAAAACGCGAAAAAACACGAGTGAAAATAAATTATTATTATTATTAGACTAGCTGTTTTATATGTAGACTGTAATATGTGCATAAATGTATATTTTTTTATGGCCGTATTGTTGTTACATATTTAAAATAGCAATACTACTGACTATAATATTAATAACTTTTAAATTATTATTATTATTAGGTCTATTAATGAGATAGCTGACATTTTATATTAAGACTTTAAAAGCTGTGCATAAATTAACATTTTCTATGGCTTATTGATAGGCTAGGTAATGATTTATTAAATAATAATAATAATAATAATAATAATGACATTTCATAGGTTACATTTTCATATTATTATTATTATTATTACTACACCTAAAAGGACAAAACAGACCAAATATTTATTTTAAATACTGACAAATGAAATTCACTTTAATAAATTAATGAATTTAGACTTTTATTTCGACTTTTATTGCTCAATCTATTTAATCAAATGTATCTTGACATAGGCCTATTATGAATATCACACAGTAGCCATTTTGTTTTTCTGGTTGACATCATGGTTGTATGATATAAGATGAAAAGCAAATTTACCTAAAACTATTAAACTCATCACACTCTGTTTGACCTTGTTTAACTCATAGCTGGTGAAATATAGAGGACCATCGAGATGAAGGCCATCTTTGATTTTGTAAATGAAACATTAAAAAAGAGGTATACTGTAAAAGCATCTGTTACAAATATAGAAATCTTTCTTTTAAAGATCCATGTTTAAATTTCTGTTTAATGTCTGTTGAAGCAGGAGCTCAGTCACTTGAGTTCACTTGTGGCTGGTGGCTTTATAATGTCCAATTTCTCAAAGAACCACAGAAAGACGACTTATGACTGGAAGCTCACATCTGTGAATATGAAATTTTGCTAAAATAATTATAAGATCAACTATAAATGAAATCAGTGGTTTGGAGGTTTTATTTCACATTCCCTTACAAATGAAAACGAGTGGAAAGCATATTTTACACTACATTTCAAGCTTTCAGTTTCTACGAAGAGCCTTTTGGGTAGTTTTAATACATCTACATGGGCTTTGATTGTTACCACAAACATAAAATTAGTGCACATTTCAAGTTACTTTCCACTTTAACATAAAAACGGTCAACCTCAGCACAGATAGGCCTACCATAAAGAAGTATATCTCCACAAAAACGAGTTTAAAATGGAAACAAAATGTCACAATCTCTTCCGAGTATTTGCAGACGATTAATATAATAAAAACAGGACTTCTGTTTTTGATGTAAATAATATGTGTTCTTCTGAGTTTGTTCATTTTCGTCAAAATATCTGAGAAGGGTTAAAGTTTTGTATGTTTTCTCCCCTGGACCGGATTCTTCTCTCTCTCTTGTATTGTTTGTCGCTAAATCTAATTTCCTTTCTTTCTGTCCTTGGGATAGCTCAGTGGTGAATCAGAGTCCTTCAGCCAAGGCTGTTATCTTTTATCTTACAGCAAGGTCTGCTCTGCACGTCCACGTTCTCAGTGTCCGGGACATCGGAAATAGCAGAGAATCATATTAACGCTATGACCCCACCTAGTGGTAAAATACTCCTTGTCATCTAGTTAAATTTTTAAAAGCACACGACTGCCACGCCGTGGAAATACGAGATAATGCAAGCAGTCTGTGGCCCCATAACAACAACAACAACAACAACAATAATAATAGCAATAATAATATTTATTTATTTATTTTCATTATGTGACACTTAAGACTAGAGTAATGGCTGCTAAAAAAATCAGCTTTGCCATCACAGGAATAAATTACATTTTAAAATATATTAAAATAGAAAACAGTTTGAATCTAATTAATCTGATGCAATAATATTTTTAAGTGTGGCTTAAGTGTCCAAATACTTTTTGGGACACTGTATCAAAGATAATCTTCCACTGATAAATTGGTGCTATACTCTTTGTGCTGTTTAACAGTCTGTTAGAAACATATTCTTGACCTAAAAATATTGTTTTTGAGTCTGTCTGTTCTTTTAAGTCTGATTTTGGGTTAATGTGGGTCAGAGATGTCTGCTATGAGGGAGTGAGTTGATAAAAGTACAGACGTGTCACACTATTCTGTCCTGCCGTGTATGTCGAACACAGATCCCATTTTTTCCTTTGTGCTTTACATTAATTTTTTATTTCTCTTCGTCTAGCTTTCTAGATATTTCTGGCATTCTTTAACTTCACACTTAAGTAGCTCAAAAAAAAAAGTAGCATGGCACTTTTACATAACGTTTTGGAAATCATGGTATTCTATGAAATACCGTAGAATATCATGTAAATAGTTATTGTTGGGTATCTGAAAATGAACCTGGTAATTAATCCAAATTGTTCTATTGTCTTTCTTCACTGGTTTTAATTGACGTGGTCTGGATTTGGACATTGAAAGGTAGATTTTTTTGTCTGGGTCTTAGAGGATCTCAAGCTTGGTCTGGATCTCTAACTTTGATTACAATATGTATCATGGTCTTTCGCATATATGTGTAATACCATACACACCATATACATATTACATGTTACTCAAAGGGACTTCAAAGAATACTGTGTCACTACACAATACAATTTATTTTTATTTTTTTAGCCTTTAAGCACAAGACTTGATAAACTGCTTTCGGATCTGTTTAAGGCACTCCGCCTCATTAGCTAAGAAAAGACAGAGTGAATCTCCTCTGCCTCTCTGACCTCTGAGAGTCGGCATTGATCATCAGCGCCACGGTGGCCAATTCAGACAGTCTATAAAAACAAAGAGCTCAGCAGAGCAGTGCAGAACACGTAGATCACACAGTCTGTGTTTCAGCAGTGCTCTGCAGCTGGGAGACATGAGCACATCAGTCACAATACTCAGAGCTTTGAGCGTTTCATCAAATAGTAGACAGGGGGACCCAGAATATTTAATGGGCTCCTGCTGTGTTCAATACTGTTCACTTTTGCCCACCTTTAAATATTTAGATAATATTCTAGATAACAATATTGCCTTTTAAATCCTATCTTGATAATTTAGTTGAAAAAATGAGTGATCATTTACACTGCTGATTCTTCATTACTGATGCTTGACACAGTTAATTAGCTGTTTTATGATTTATTTCTGGATGTAGACTACAGGTTTAACTCATCTTTATAAATACTGGTCAATTGACCCCTGGCTGTTAAATTGCTACATCTTTTTTTTTTTTTGCACTAATTGGTTTGCTGGCTTCATAACTAACAATATGTGTTCATTTTCAATGCAGTTTAAATTACTTAACTTACAATATGCTGGTATATTATGGGCTTCCGAGACCTTTGAAAGGAAAGAACCCTTTCTTCTTGAAACATACTGAAAAAAAAAAATTTTTTAATAGTTTTATTATATATATCAGTGGCGTTCCGTCCATATAAACTGCTAATGCTCAGCATACCCAGGCCATTTGAGAGAATAAGTTCACGGGATAATTACATGATTATAAGTTGATCCCTTGTCATTTGAAATGTAACTTAAAGCTTAAAGAGTTAGGAATAAGTACATACAATGATTTATTTGCCAAACGGCAGTCATTTTCTTTAAATCTACCTGTTGCGGTTGCTTCTGGGCGAGCGGATTCTCCACAGCTTTCTCCTCTCAGCTCTGTTGCTATGACTCTTCAGGATTATAGCGCGTTCTCAGTGATTTGCTGGTCTGCGGCAGATTTAATGCACGAGGTAAACTGTTCGCAAAGCGCTCGCCCAAGCGGAAAAATGTGCTGTTGCTGTCAGATCTCGATTGCCGAGAATCACATTGTGTTTGATGCAAAACCAACTCGAATAAATCAAAAGAAAAAAACACTGTAAATGTATATTTTTGTTTTCTCAAGCAAAGCAAATTTTAAAAGTCCACTGAAAACATATATTTTTACATTTTTGGTCATAGACAAGACAATGTATGTTGAAGATATACGTTATTGTCAACGTTATTGCCTAATTGGTAAATTAAAAAAAATAATAATAATAAAAACGTGGGCTATATAAATTTTTTATAATATCAAACATCATATTGTTCCCTTTGTTTTGCGTATGTCGCTTACAGTTAAAGTCCTTCTCTGGTTTTATTATTGTTTGCAAGGTTGCAACGTT